AAGTGATTTTTGATTGAAACTTAGACATTTTTGTGTCATACCAGGAGACCATAAACCTTACTGAAACCTTTTGTGTTAACTGGCTTTGCCTGACACCTCTCCAGCAAAGGAAGCAAGGGGTGCCACCTCATTTCTGGCCAGTGGAAGTAAAAAGCCAGGTCCTCCCTTCATCTTTTGTTAATATCTGGTGGCAGAAATGGCAGGGTGGGGAAGGGAGTCTGTTGGGCGCTGTTGGGCATTGTTGGAGACAGTTCAATTTTCAAATCCCCATGTTGTCTCTACTGACACCTCTGAGGGTGTGAGTGGCCTTGTTCCCACTGGGCGGTGGTTTGGTACGACCCCAGCACTCGGGTGGGCGGTGAGGGGGGCAGAGGGGAGAAGAGACAATGTTACTGCCGGGTAGGGGTGGAAGCTCAAGATCCTGCATGGTCTCCATTGACTCCGCAGAGAATGCTTCATTACCATCTGGCGTGCAGGAAGGTCCTGGCTCCCTTCTTGGTCCTCCCTGACAGCACTCTGACAGCACAGACCCCTGATAGGGGCTCCTTGTTAGAGCTTTACGAGGGTAGAAATCTTGTCTCCCCACTAAGCCTTTGTTGGCTTGGATGGTCGTAGCTTCTTCTGTGGTATTTGGCTGGAGTGGAGCAGTTATTGTCTGAAAGTTTTTTGTCTTGCTAGGCTTTCCTGCTCCTTTGGCTAGATAGACCAGGTTCTTGTTGAGGTTTTTTTGGTCTCTGCCCATTGGTGTTTTCAGGTTGGGGACTGCTTCAGCAGCAAGTCTGGAATACATGAGCCAAAAGGAAAATCCAAGAATCTTACCTCCATGTTGTTAATTAGGTCTTGAGATCCCAGGCTGGCCTACTTTCTTTCCCTCTTGTGTAGTTTTTTTAAATGTTTATTTTATATATAAAACATCCAGTGTTTTTAGTTGTTTGTAGGAGGAGAAAGTGAGTCTACTCCATGTTCCTAGAAGCAGAGGTTCTTGCATTCAATTTTTGTTTTATTTTTCCCAATATTTCCCAGTATTTTGTTATGAAAGTTTTGAAGGTGAAAGAATTATACAGTTCACCACCACATATCCACCACCTAGACTCAACAGTTAACATTTTGCTATATTTTAAATAAAACTTAAATTTATTGTAAATTTATCCATCTGTCCATTCCATCTATTCATCAATTTATTATTTTTGATGGACATCAGTGCACTTCACCCCTTAACACGTCACCTCGCATGCCATTAATTGGACTTCAATATTTATTTATGGTTTTTAAAAGTAAAATGCACAATATCATAAATACCATTTGATGAGTTTTGTATAACCAGTCCTTTACTGAGATACTTTCCATCACCCCAGGAAGTTCCCATTAAGCTCCTTCTTAACTACTTTCTACCTCCATCTCACTCCAAGAAGCAACTGTTCTGATTTTCTTTCTTTCTTTCTTCTTTTTTCTTTAGGTTTTGTTTCCATAAATTCATTTTGCCTTTTGTAGAAGTTCTCATAAATAGAACCACAGATGCATGCTTTTGTGTGTCACTTTTTTTTAGCACAGTGTTTTTTCTGAGACGCATTCCTGTTGTTGTAGGTATCAATGGCTCGTTTTTCAAAATTGCTGAGTGCTATTTCATTGCATGAATAATACATAGTTTATCCATCCTTAGCTGATTCTAGTTTTTTGCCGTTAAAATTTGATTGTAGGGAAACTAATTAATATAACAAAAAAGAAGCAGAGTCACAGAAATAGAGAACAAACTAGTGGTTATCGGTAGGGAGAGGGAAGTGGGGAGGGGCAAGATAGGGGTAGGGGACTAAGGTACAAACTGTTAGATATAAAATAGCAACAAGGATATATTGTACAACAGGGGGAATATGGCCAATGTTTTATAATAACTTTAATAGGAGTATAACCTTTAAAATTGTGAATCACTGTATTATACACTTGTAACTTATATAATATTGTACATCAAATATAAGTCAATAAAAATTAATTTTAAAATTTGATAGTTGGGGTAATATACGTTATCACCATCTTTCTGTTGTGAACATAGTGCAAGGCAACTTAAGGTTTGGGGCTTTTTCTTCTGATTGGTGAAATGATTAAGGCACATAAAGATATGTTCTCTTATATACAACACCCACACTTTCCGCATATTTCTTGTCATGCGTGGTAGCTATCTGTTTATTTGAAGCTGAAAACTTTTTTATACTAGAAGCAAAATATAGTTTTAGCATGATAAAAATTAGAATTTAGCTTCTTGGCACTAAATTTTATTTTGTGGAGGAAAAAACTATGATTTTAACTAGCCATAACTGTCATATTCTTTACTGAGAATGCCAAACTCGTCTCTGGAGGAACATCCTATTTCAGAAATGCATAGAATACTCCATTTCTACACAAAATATTGCTGTGGTTGTTGCAGATAGATCCAGCTGTGCTTCACAGGCCCTTATTTGTCTGACCTTAACTATTATGTCTTTTACACTTCTTTTCTCTTTCCCCAAAATGATTGTCCAAGGAGGGGGAGGGCCGTGGTTTCTGATTGATTTATTGATTGATTGATATTAGAGGAGTTCTATCTGCTGGAAAATGGGGCCAAATAAACTTTATATGAGATCTCAGTTAAAGTGGGTGTGTTTGCTATTAGCAGTACAGGAAGAAAGAGATGATGTTGTTTCAGACTTTTATTACAGCTTTTCCTTGACTTTATTATTTTTTTTATACAGTTGATGGACTGGACAAAGCTTCTATAGCAAATTCAGATGGCCCAGCAGCAGGTTCCCAAACACCTCCCTTCAAGAGAAAGGGGAAACTCTCCACCATTGGTAAAATCTTCAAGCCTTGGAAATGGAGGAAAAAGAAGACCAGTGACAAATTTAGAGAAACATCAGCAGGTATGAATTTCATAACTTCATTAGGAGATAAATAGTTAAATTTTCCAAAAGGTAAAAAATTGTATCTTGTAGGGTTTCTTGGTTTTTTTGTTTCGGAAGAAAGTAATCTGTATTTGAAATAAAATTGTTTCATTTAAGGGTGAAACAACTTAGAGTTTTGATTTGCCTTCTTTTTCTATTCACTTTGGCTTCCCAATATAGTCTTGTTTTAAAATATGTATTTGTAAATCATATAAAATTAATGTGTAGGGAGAGGGAGGTAAATGGAAAATTAGACGTGTTAATGTTATTTGTGAACATTATAGCTGCAGGTATCCATTTATACACATACACACACACACACACCCTCAGAGTATTATTTTTCTGTCTACTTAGTTCCAGTAGCACAATACTATTTGTTAATTAAAATTTTTAAAGTGCCTTTTAAATGTATTTGTTTTGTGGGCAAAATTTAAATGGCTATATGAAAGTGTTGCTGTATTTATTAATTTTAATTTTAATTAAAATTTTAATTTTAAATTTCCAGCATGTCCTTAAAACAAATGGTCTGTGTCCTAGAGAAGTCATAAACTTCTTGGTGTGAAAACTTTATATTCTTATTTTATTTTGTGGATTTATTAAACCTTGAGAAGAAGAATATTTAATGCCTTTCATATGGACTCATGGAGAAAGCTGGCTTTAAATCTCAGGTCAGAATTAAGCCTGATTTAAACAAGTGTCCGGTATCAGTGGTATTTTGTTTAAGGTAGAAAGGCATTTGTCTCTTGATACAAGTTTAGCTTTTATCATATTGATTATCTAAAATGATCCCTGCATCAGAATTCCTCACTGCACCAGAGTCTAATATTGTCCATGTATGTACAGGATCACAGAGCATCCCTTACTGGTCTGTGCTTAGATAAGAGCTGGCCTTTAGTTCCCGAGCTGGTGAAATAAAATGGAAAACACCACACATGGCTTGAGGGGACAGGATAGTGACACCACAGCTTCATAAAGAAAATTGTCTCTGCTGTATCTGCAGGTATCTCATTTCTTTGAGCATTTAATATTTTTAAAGAAATAAGGAAAAAAGAAACTCTCCTACACTGTTGGTGGGAATGTAAATTGGTGCAGCCACTATGGAGAATAGTATGGGGGTTCCTTTAAAAATTAAAATTAGAGTTACCATACAAACTAGCAGTCCCACTCCTGGGCATGTATCTGGAGAAAACTATAATTTTAAAAGATACATGCATCCTGATGTTCATAGCAGCACTATTTACAATAGCCAAGACATAGAAGCAACTTAAATGTCCATCAACAGATGAATGCATAAAGAAGATGTGGTATATATATATATATATATTTACAATGGAATACTACTCAGCCATAAAAAAGAATGAAATAATGCCATTTACAGCAACACGGATGGACCTAGAGATTATCATACTAAGTGAAGTAAGTCAGAAAAAGAAATACCATATGATATCATTTATATGTGGAATCTAAAAAAAATAATGACACAAATGAACTTATTTGCAAAATAGAAAGAGACTCACAGATGTAGAAAACAAACCAGAGAGGAAAGAGGGTAGGGAGGGATAAATTGGGAGTTCTGGGTTTGCAGATACTAACTACTACCTATAAAAAAAGATAAACAGTAAAGTCCTACAGTATAGCACAGGGGACTATATTCAATATCTTTTAATAACCTATAATGGGAAAGAATCTGAAAAAGAATATATATATATATAAATTCAGTTATATATATATATTTATATATCTAAATTCAGTTTTATATATATGTGTATATGTGTGTGTGTGTGTGTATATATATATATATATATGTATATATATAAAAACTGAATTGGGGGAGGATATGGCTCAAGTGGTAGAGCACATGCTTAGCATGCACAAAGTCCTGGGTTTAATCCCCAGTACCTCCTCTAAAAATAAATAAATAAATAAATAAACCTAATTAACTCCCCCTGCAAAAAAAAGAAACTGAATCACTTTGCTATATACCTGAAACTAACTCAACGTTATATATGAACTACAGTAAAAAACTTTAAAAAACCCATACCATTAAAAAAAATAACGATACTATTTCTAGGATTTGTTTCAAAATAGTCCTGGAGGAGAGGTAAGTATAGATGAAAGAAGATTGGCCACAAGTCAGTAATTATTTAAGCTGAGCGATAGATATATGGGCTTTATTATTCTCATATCTCTATTTACAGATATGGGAAAATTTCCATAATAAAAAGATAGGTAAAGGAAAAAGACTTGGCTTAAGGGCAAATGATGATAGCGTGGTTATTGAATCCTGCTTAGTTGTTGGCTTCTTGGGTTAGGAGGCAGTGGGAAGCAATGGACGGAGTGCTGTGCTGAGGGAACATCTGGATTCTAGTTGTATTCTTGCCACCAAGGTGCCGTGTGACCTGGAGCAAGTCGGGTCAGAGTTGAGTGAGTTGAATTTTAATGTGCTTTCAGTTCCAGATTCTGTTGTGGGTCCTTGACTCCCTCCGATTCCTGGCTGGGTGTCTTGTTCTGCCTTCTTCTTCGGTGCCGATGGAAGTACCCTGGCCTTCTTAAGTGCCTCCCTCTCAGGTTTCCCTAAGCATTGGGGGAATCTGGCTCTTTGAGTTACCATGGATACCGAAGATGGGTGTAGGGCTCCAGACAGTAGTATTAAGGCATTGAAAAGAAACGGTGGAAGTCAAGTCAGTTGTCTTTCTTGCCCTTTTCCTGAATCTGGGCTGCTAACTTTTTTCTCCCTAAAGTAGAAACAGTTACAAAGAGCTTTCCTTCATCTTTTCTTGTCACCTTTTAAAAATTGTTTTAATGGTAGGGAGGCTGTAACATTTCCACTAGCCCAGAATATTTTAGAAAAGTCATTTTAAACAGCACTAAATGTTATTATATATTAGTCTATATTTATTGAGGACAGGCTAGCCATCCTCATAGTCACTCTTTCCTTTTCAGATTCACATAGGATTTTATATAAATTGAGCTCTAAGAAGTTACTTGTGGATACTCTATTTCTAGTTCCTAAAGACTACCAAGCTACATTAAGAACCTGGAAAAGTTATTAGATGCCTCATTTGTTTTTATTTTTTCCTTGTCTTTGCATCAAAATTGTGATGTAATAGCATAAAAACAATCCAAGTAGATGTGTTAACAATCCATTGTGAATTTTTCTGCATCATTCCTTTTTAAACCCATTTATCACTAATTTTTACTTGGATTTCATAAGATGTTATCAAATATCCTCTATATTTTATTATCACTATATATATGTATGTATGTATATGTTTATTTTAAGGCTTCAATTTCTGCTGAGCTTTACAAAATGTATTAGTAAAGCCTAAAATAAATGGAGCCACAAAATAGTGCAACGTATATTTTTTTCACATTGAAGAAAGATGCCACATCTAGAGGAAGACTGATGCATTTGGAAATAACCAAGAGACAGGTGTTTTCTTCTTTAATAAATTGTCTCAAACAGTGAAACCTAGGTGTTTGGGTATGACCAAGGCCATGTGCAGTCTGGCCAACTATAAAGTACCTCTTAGGCAAGATCTTCAATATTTTGGGATATGAAAGAAGATGAATTTCTTCCAAGAAAAGGAACTCTTTTGTTTTTCCTTTCCCTAAACTCTTGGCTTTACAGTTGTACGGACATGAGTCTTACTGGATTCTGCTACGCAGCGATTGACACCGCTTTTCCGAGTCTGGGTGTCTGCTGTAGGAACTGTTAGGTGGCACTAGGTAGGATGCAGCGCTGATTTATTAACGCCATTGTAATGAATGCTGTTATTCTCACACACGTACTCTGCTGGTGGGAGTTAAGAAAGGTCATGTCTTCTGCCTGCTTTGGTGGTCCTTGAGTCAACCTGATTTTGGAAGGCCGTCTTGTCCTGCAAGGCAAGCTGGGCCTCTGCCCCGACTTCAAGTTCTCTGGCCTTGTTTTAAACCAGACAGTTACCTGTATCTCCAGCTCTGTTCAGGATGATCCATGGGCTGTTAGGTTCTAGAGCCGAATAGTCTTTTCTGTTTACTTCCCCTCCTTCTTCACTTTTTCTGTCTTGAGTGAGAGTCCTTCTTTGGTCCCACCTAAGTTCTATTCCTTCCCTGTCTTTAGAACTTAAAATCTTACTTATACGTTTTTATCCTACATAATCATTTCTTCCTGTTTTTTACCCCTGGTGAGGGATCAGTAGTGGTAAGGGTTCCTCCCCCTGGTGCTTTACAAATGCTTTCGTCTCCCCAAAGCTGACAATACAAACATCCCCAACTAAACACGATCGATCCTGCAACTTCTGCATGATCTGTTACCACCAAGACCAAACGTCTTGAAAGCCCACCCTGGGTCTGCTGCTTCCACTCCCCCACCCCCATTCCTTTCCCTCTGCAATCTGCCCCCACACCAGCACTCCGCGGAGGTTATTCCAAGCCTACCAGTCATGAAACGCGGTGTTACTCTCTCATTTTCATCCATTTCAATCTCTACAACACGTGCCATTACTGATCAGTCCTTCCTTGTTTTACAGAATCTTATTTGATTTACAGGAGATGTCATCTTGGTTGTCTTTGACTTTTCTTTCTCTTTCACCCCCTCTCTTCCTCTTCTCATTTCCCCTAAACCTTTCAGGGAGGTTCGCTACCTGTTTTAACCTTTCTCTTTCTGTGCATGTGCCCTCCCTCACCCTGCTCTCTTCCCAGTGCCCACATCTGTCAAACTCAGGCTCCAGCCGAGGCCCAGGCACATCAACCCAAGCACCCGATGGGCAGCAGAGCCTGAGGACCGCGTGTTCACTCAAAATCCCTTCGTATGGTCTACACACATCTGCATTGAAAACATGGCCCATGCCAGGCACTGCTGAATTTGTTTCTGGATGTCAATTTTTTAAGGAAAAAAATCAGATTTTTATAGTGAGAATTTTCTTTTAAGAAATGTGCATCAGATTCTCTTTTCACATGATGAAGGGAGGGATTCTGTTAAGTATGACTAAGATTGC